CCAGAAAGATAATATAGGAAGACCACAAAGGGACAGATGCCAGAAGAGCATGTTTAAGCCAAGTAAGTCTTCCTAGCCCAGGCACCAGACATGGGAGTGAGGAAACCTTCGACATGGCTCCAGATCCAGCTTCTGTCTGACTACAACTGCACAAGAGACCCTGAGCAAGAACTGCCTAGCTGAGTCCAGCCACCCCCAAAACTATGAGAGATTATAATAAAACAACTGTTGCTTTTTTAAGCCACAAAATTTTAAGACGATTCATTACACAGCTATACAGATAGAATGCTGGTGAAAGAGAAGATGAAGATTAAGCAGCCCAAAATATAAGGAAAGGAAAAGCAGGACATTTGGTTTTGTTTCTTGCTTGTTTTATCACAGCGATTAACAAGACTTTTGTAGTAGGCGCCTAAGACAACTCCGTAAACATTTTCTGAGAAGCAACCTAGATCCAGGTACTGTATTAGATGTTGGACATATAAAACAGTATGACATGGTCTCTATCCTTAAGGAGTTCACAGTCCAGCAGGGCAGCCACGCATAGAAACAAGTCACGATGATACACGATATAACATATAAGTGCGATAAAGGTAGCATAAAAAATGTCTAACATGTGGGAATATCTCTGTTGATTCTTAGTGCCGAAGTCCTATCCATATTCACTAGCAAACAAGTCATATAAGCTGGAATAGTCCTCCTCAGAGACTTTGGTAGTTAATACAAAGTAATATTAGCAGATTACTCTTCACTGATAGTATACATAGAAAAACTATACTTTTAACAAACTATTCAATAACAGATTCAGCTATCAGAATATCTTCAAATAGAAGAACAGTTAAATTATAGACCACCTTTAATACACAAGAGGTAACCCTGACAGGAAAAGGCCCACTACAGCAACAGTTAATTTAAGTATTCTCAGCAGAAATTCCATCTTAACTTCATCACTTACTCAGAACTTCCAGAAAAGTCTTTATTTAGGCAGAAACTTTCATGACTGGCCTTTTCCAAAAATGTGAATCATTTAGGAAAGTCTGAGCTAACCGGCTCAGCTGCTTATGTGATCCCCCAAAATCAACTCCTGTTAAGTCGATTCCAACTCATAGCAACCTCATAGGGTTTCTGAGGCTGTAAATCTCTACAGAAGCAGACTGTCACATCTTTCTCCCTCAGCGCTGATAGTAGTTTTGAACTGCCAACCTTTCGGTCAGCAGTTGATCACTTTAACCACTGCACCACCAGGGCTCCCTGCTTATGTGATAGGAGAGGATAAAAAATGCTATTTTCCCCCATTCCCCAAGGTTTAATGAGATATTTAGAAATATACATTTTTCAAGGGGGGGGGGAATGCCTAAAGTTGCAAAACTCCAGAGTGTAATAATTAAAACATAGTTAACAAAACTAAACGACGAACTTTGTGCTACCACCTTATGCTTATACTTACAAATTCTTCCCTTTTATTACTAGCTCTTTCTCACATTTCTTAAAGATGTACTAATGTACTTAACTTGACACAAAGACAAAAGAAAAGGCAGAATAATGACATCAAGAGATTAAAAACCAAACCCACTGCTGTCGAGTCAAGTCTGATTCATAGTGACCCTAGAGATGAAAAGATATACTCAAATCTATACACCAAGTTTATATCTTGTTGTCAATTAAAATTCAGATCTCCCAACTTCCTTTATGAGAGTTCCTTACAATACTTAAATTTAAGTATAAATAATTTAATTTAAAAAAAAAAATCCTGCCAACACACTATTAACAGAGTTTTTGTCTTCTTTAGGGGAGGGAACTACAAAGAAGTTTCACCTGCCATACTACCTATTTCTGTAATGTCTGATTTTTTTAAATAATAAGCATACATTACTTTTGAAATATAAAATACATGTACATGTGAGGATATGTATATATATGGAGAAATAAAGTGCTTCCATATGTGGATTTCTTTGTTTTTAGAGACATGATGCTGCCTCTTCTGACAAATGATGGAAACAGACGACTGCCTGAGTCCAGTGTTTGATTTTACCATCCACTTGCTTTCAAAAATGAAACAAAATTTGTGGCAGACAACAAAGTTAATATTTATCAACAAGTCCACAAAATTTCATTTGTTTAGGAAATTTAATGATTTCTCACAGCAACAGTTATTCACAAGTTTTTCTGGCAAAGTTATAAATAAATCTTCCTTAGATATTCTACATGACACCTGGGAAATAATTCAAGGCAAGAAAGACTTCTAGCCATTCTAAAGCCTATATTCCTAATGGCATATTAACATACTTTGTGTGATTACTTTATAGGACTTCCAGCCCACTGAAGGTTTACCATCAGTGTTCTGCTGCCCTCTACTGGACAACTCGATAGTTTCCAGGTATGAATTCTGTCAGCAAAACAAAACAATTATATCATCAGAAAGTATTGAATGGATCCCACAAATTATTAATTACCAAGAAAAAGGGTGTCTTTGCAATGGAGAATTCTGCCTTGTGATCAAACTTATCACCACCAATACTGCATCTCGTGAGATAAAGCACTGAGAAGGACACAACACGATCAATGTAGCATTTCTGTCTAAAATGATTAATCTGAAGTTAGTCAGAAGGAAACAATCCAACAATCCAAACTGAGGGACACTCTGCAATACAACTGGCCTGAAATCTTAAAAAAGTCAATGTTGTGAAATACGAGAACAGTTTGAAAAAGTTTTTAAATTCAAGGAGACTAAAAAGATTAAAAGGAGCCCTCATGGCGTGGTGGTTAAGTGCTTGGCTGCTAACAAAAAGGTCGGCGGTTTGAACCCACCAGCAGCTCTGCAGGGAGAAAATACCTGGTGATCTGCTCCAGCAAAGATTTCAGCCTAGGAACCCTATGGGGCAGTTCTACTCTGTCCTATAGGGTCGCTAGGAGTCAGAAATGATTCAACGGCACACAACAACAACAAAAAGACTAAACGCAGTATGCAACCTTAGATGGGATATTGGACTGAGTAAGAAGCAAAGACATAAGGAACATTATTGGGATAACCAGTGAAAACTTCAGTAGAATTGTACACAGTGCTACTCAAAGTATGGGCTGCAAAACTACCTGTTATTGGTACAAGATAAGATGGGTACAGAAATGGTATTTAGAAACGTGTTTTAACAATTTGACAACGTCACAATATTCAAGACACCATCAGTGGACTCACTTCATTGAACAGAGCATAGACCAGTTCAGGTATTGTCAAACTTCCAGAATGAGTCACACGTGATGCAAAATTTTCCTAGTAATTCCTTTCTATTATATTTAAGAAAAGTACAGGTCTACGAAAGATTGACAATTTAGAAAGAGTCCCCCACAGAGAGTTTAGATTATCTGCATTGATGTTAAATTTACTGGATGTGAGGGTTATATTGTGTTATGAAGGAGAATGCCCTTATACTTAGGAGATACATGCTATACTATTTAAAAGTAAAGTGTCACAATGTCTACAAGTAATTCTCAAATGGTTCAGGCAAAACAAAAAAAGAGAAATACAAATATAGCTACTGAGAGGAGGCAAAATGTTAACAAATGTTGAATCTGGATGGTAGGTATATGGGTGTTGGTTGCAATATTATTCTTGTAAGGTTTTTTTTTTCCCCCCAGAAGAAAAAGTTGGAGAGAAAATTTTTTTTAAATAATGAAAAGTTATGCCCCATACCATTCATAAAACTTATGATGCCAAAATCTTTTTTCCAAAATATATTTTCACTAGATAAAATAACTGCTGGAAACTACTAGAATAAAAATTTGAGGGGAAATCAAATTTTTCACAGAACCTACGGATCTAATTACTATCAAGGAAAATAAATGTGAACACCCATAAAATAAGTGATTAGCAATTCATATATTCTCAATTAATTCTAAACTATAGGTCTGCTGTTTTCACACTATAAAATTTACATAAATGGGGGACAGGGAATTTTTAGTATGCAGCTCTTACTGAGAACAGCCAGGAGGCTAAACTGGTCAAGCCTCTACTGCTTTTCTGAACTATAGTCAACAAACCTCATGAATCAATTTAAAAAATAACATTAAAATAAGGAAAATAACTGGAACCAAATTTCTCTCCTATTACTTCCAATTCTTAGCTGATTTCAGACGCCTCACGGGGGCTCATACTTCACAATTAAGGAAAAATAATTAAGGGAGAAATGACTTACCAAGGTCATAAAGCATGGCAATGGCAAGCAGAACCAAACACTTAATTCTTCATTTCCTTACTTCTGTTCAGCAGACCACTTCATAATACCCAGAAACTACATTACCACATATGAAAAGGATCTTCCTCACGTTCCCTGATAATTCATGGAGACACCGTTTTCCTTCAATTCAGATATAACACTCCCAAAATATTACTGTCATGGACTGAATTATGTCCCCCCAAAAAATGTGTCTATCAATTTGAATGGGCCATGACTCCCAGTATTGTGTGGTTGTCCTCCATTTTGTGATTGTAATTTTATGTTAAAGAGGATTAGGCTGGGATTGTAACACCCTTACTAAGGTCACATCCCTGATCCTATGTAAAGGGAGTTTCCCTGGCGTGTGGCCTGCACTGCCTTTTATCTTACAAGAGATAAAAGGAAATAGAAGCAAGCAGAGAATGGGGGACCTCATACCAACAAGAAAGCAGTGCCAGGAGCAGAGCACGTCCTTTGGACCAAGGACCCAGGGTTCCTGCACAGAGAAGCTCCTAGTCCAGGGGAAGACTGATGAGAAGGACCTTCCTCCACAGCCCACAGAGAGAGAAAGCCTTCCCCTGGAGCTGACACCCTGAATTTGGACTTCCAGCTTACTAGACCGTGAGAAAGTAAATTTCTCCTTGTTAAAGCCATCCACTTGTGGTATTTCTGTTATAGCTAGAAGACTAAGACTATTATGACAGATTCGAACGAGGGTAGATGTCTAACACTATTTAGAAAGATGTGCATTTTTAAAAGAACTAGTTTCAAAGTTTCTGAAGGTCACCTTACCTGACTTCTTCACCAGCAAAATCAAACACCTTGGTGATTTTGACCTTTTCTGTTTCTTTAGGCTTCTCTGGCTCTTCTGCTTTGACCAACAATTTACTTGAAGTTGTCTCTTCAGTCTCCTCTCCTCTCTATAAAAAAGCAAGAAATGTAATCAGTTTCACCAAAGGGTAAAATCTAAAAGAACCACCCAAACACACTATGCATGGCTGCTCTTAAACCTTTCATTTATAAACAGTTAAAGACATACTGGAAATTTATTTAATTAGAAAGGCTTATTTTTCTAACAAATGGAATGCTTTCCTTATCATTAGTAGAGTTACTATCAAAAGGCATCAAGTCTGACTTCTGCTGTAAGCTTCAAATCTCAATTTGTAAATAAAATCTATCTTGGGGAACTTTGGGTATTTCTGCAGAAGTATTCTTATTAATCTCTTGACTTACCTTAACTTGTGTACTTGGGGGCACTTTTGATTTTGGTCCTACATCATTGAGAAAGCTGGCCCAGAGTTCATCCTCCTTCTTTTTTCTTGCATCCTCTGACCCGATGCCCTTTTCCTGCTCTGCAACTGCATCTTCCTCCTCACTGCTGCTTCCTCCGGATTCCGCTGTGGCATCCTCCTCTTCCTCTCCTTCTAATGAGAGGCCACTATGTTTTCTCTTCCTGATCACCAAAAGTCACAAGAAAAAGGAAAGACAAGACAGAGAATGTAAAACGATTTCAGTTATTCCTTCCTCACTTCCAAACACAATCTTGCAAGCCTAAGAAAACTTTTAAATCTGGGTACCACTAACTAACACACTTACGGAAGAGGGCAAGCTGGGATTTTCTGAAGAAAAAAAGAAGTGAGCCCTGAGTGTTAGCATTTTCTCCAGACACTTAGAATCAAAATACAGTGTTCTACTTCTAAATCGGGACCAGCTATTTTCACAAGAAAACACCCAAAATCACCTCAGAGGATCAATGTATCCAGAAAGTGTTCTAAGAACATACATATACCAGACACTTTTTACTTTTTAAAGCCATTCCATTTGGAGAATATTTTTTATTAGAAGAACTTCAAATTTATTTGCACTGTTTCTTCCTAGAGTTTTCAGAAAGAAAGAAAGAAAAAAAATCAGTTTCTTCCACTTTCTGAAGATACAAAAAGCTGGAATCAGAAAAACTCAAGGACAAAAGAACTGGGTTCAAGACTTGTAAGAATAAACTGTTTAAGGCTATTTTGACTTCACGTGAATTATCTTATACCTAAAACCATTTCTTCCCTTTCGAAAAACTACAATCTGCCTTTTGCTTCAGTGCCCACGAAGGCAGAAACAAAATCAAAGAGATGTAAAAGACTTCTATGGAAGATGCCCTTATCCGAGCTAAATAACGTGTCAGAATTTTCATACAGTTTTGGTGGGAGTGTAAATAAGCACCACCCCCATGGGAGGCAATTTGCTAATATCTATAAAAAATTTTTAACTGCATATAACCTTGAATCAAATAATTCTACCTATAAATCTGACTTACAGATATGCTTGTACATGTACACAAATACATATACAAAGAATATTCACTGCAGTCTTGCTTGTTTGTAGTAAAGACTAAATGTCTCTCAATAAGGGAATGCTTAAAGCACAGTCTATCCATATAATGTACTACCACTCAGTCACTGAAAAGAATGACACATCTCAAAATGTACTGCCAAGGTACCATCTCCAAAACGTGAAATAAGCAAAGTGAAAAAGGAAAGGTAAAGTTTGCTACTATTTGTATTTAAAAAAGAGGGTAGCTATAGAACTGTACAACACTAAACTATGGATGTTAGTTAAGAATATCAATATTGGTTCATCAATTATGATGCACCACAGGAATGCAAGATGTTAATAGTATCAACGGCTGTTTAGGAAACAGCGAGTTTGTTTACGGTGATGGAAAATTCGGCAACGATTACTGGTGATGGCTGCACATGTTAATGTAATTGATACCACTAAATCTTACATGTGAAAACGCTGAACTGGCAAATGTGGTGTTATATATATTTTTACAACAATTAAAAAATACGATAAATGATGTGCAGGGGCAGGGAGTATACGGGAACTCTGTTCAGAAATTTCTACACAATATTTTTGTAAACCTAAAACCACTCCAAAAAATAAAGTCTATTAGAAGGAAGAGGATTGGAAATACATACATGTTTGTACCTGTACAGATTATCTCTGGTAACATAGCTCTTTTGAGGAAAAGCAACAAGAGCTAGAAATAAGGTATGCACTTCTGTACTGATGAGCTTTTTGTTTTTACCATGTGTACATATTACCTATTAAAAAATTTGATTTTAAAGCTCAAAAATTTTTACAGCTTGCCATAGACTAAGAATTTAATCTTAAAATATCAGCAAATGTTTCCCTCAAAGAGAAAAAAGCAAGGAACCCTGTCAGTACAAAATCTACAATCAGACCAATCCTAGCAATAGGAGGGTCATGACAACAGCCCCTGATTTCTAAGGACCCTGAGGGCAGCATCACCTGGCCGGAATGCTCTGAGCCTTTCTTTTTTTCCCTTTGGTTTTCTGTGTCTGCTCTTCACCATCCACTTCATCTTCCTTCACTAATTCATTTACATCATCTTCACTATACTCTCCACCTGAAATCACATAATAGGGTGGTCAGACAGACAGGAATGAAGGTTTCACATCAAGATGAGATATTTTCATCAAGAAAAAGGCAGTTTCCACCGTATCATACCTTTCCCTATTCATCTAAAACAACATTTTCTTAGGGAAGCCATCTCTGTCCCTGAAGACTAGGCTAAGGTCCCCGATTATAGGCTTCCATGGCAGTCCATACATCCCCCTTCATAATTTTTATCCTACTTCTAATTATTTAATGTTTGCAATTCCTGCTGTGCTCTACATTCCATGAAGATATGTCTTGATTTGTAAGTATTTGCTGAACTAATTAATTAAAAGATATTATAATTCTATTAATGTACTTTTCAAAAAAGAAACTAATACACCTCATCTTAGGTATCTTTCAAAAGCATATTTTGTCTTGTCAATCATAGGGATTTAGAAAGAGGTCTAAAGACTTCCAGTTAAACATAAAAGGAACAAACACATCTATTTCCCATCTTCAGTCAGTGACACCAACAAAAGAGTTGCGTGTATGCCCAGTCTGAGCACACACTGTGGGCACTAGTCAATAAATCCTGCCCACAGAGATTCAACTAGCTTTTGTAAATTTCACACAGAGTTTTATTTGAAATATAACATTTGTTGTTGTTATTAAGTGCTGTCAAAGTCGATTCTGATTCATAACAACCCAAATGTGACAGAGTAGAATTGCCCCATAGGGTTTTCTTGGCTGTAATCCTTACAGAAGCAGATCACCAGGTCTTTCTCCCACGGAGCCACTGGCTGGGCTTGAACCACCAACCTTTCGGTTAGCAGTCAACCAATATACCAAAAAAAAATCATGACCAACTGATGTACTTTTCTTAGAAAAATTTACACGTACTATAAAACTTTATCCTGGAAAAGGCTGGTTCAAAATTTTAAAAAACCAATCACTGTAATCCGGCGTATGAATAGACTTCTAAAGAAGACCACACATGATCACATCAACAAATGGAGAAAAAGCATCTGACAAAATTCACCTCTCAGCAAATAAAGAAAAGAGAACATCTTTAACCTGATAAAAGACATCTGTGAAAAATATATAGCTAACATCACACTGAATGGTAAAATACTGATGCTCTCCCCCTTCATACTGGCAACAAGGCAAGGAAGTCCACCCTCACCACTCCTATTCAACATCATACTGAAAGTTGTATCAAGTTCAGTAAACCAAACAAAAGAAATAAAAGGCATACAAGTTGAAAAGGAAGAAGTAAAACTATTTTTATTCACACATAACATGATTGTCTATGTCGAAAATCCTATAGAATCTGCAAAAATAAAGCCTCTAGAACTGATAAATGAGTCCAACAAGGTTGTGGACTACAAGGTTAGTATGCAAAGATTAACTGTATTATCATATACTAGCAATGAACAATTGGAACTTGAAGTTAAAAATACCTGAACAAATGGAGATATATTTCAAAACACTTAACTGTGCTTATGTAGAACCTATACATAGACAAAGAGGCAGTCATTCGAACAGAACAAGGGGATACTGCGTAGTTTAAAGTCAGAAAAGGTGTGCATCAGGGTTGTAT